TATTTTACGTTTTTATTGACTTATTAGTTTATAAGCTTTTACGTTTTAACCTAAATAGTGGTCGCGCTGCGCCCGGGCAGCGTCCGCGCGGCTGTATTATTCCGAGGAATTTAAATGTTGTTGCCTAGTAAATAGAATTTAGATTTGCCATTAATGTACGTGAAAGCGCGGCAACTGGGCGCTAATGGTCCAACCTATCGCCTCACAAGTAGAGGCCGTGGGTTTCTCGTAATTTATATTAATTTGAAATTTACCATGAGTTTTACCGTGAAACATCGTGATGAAACGTGTGAAGTCTCCAACCCGCATTGAGTCAGCGTGGCGGACTATGATTTAAACCCTCGCCTAAATGGAGATCCGTGTCCAGCAGTGGGACATGTATTTACATGTTAATCCACTTCATCTTTCTGATTGTTCTTAATTCACTCTTCGTTTTATCCTCTATGGTTTATTCGTATTTGTAAATTTAAAATCATATTTTCCTTTAGTCATGAAACCACAGTAATTAACGTCCTGCAAACCCTATAGAGTTTAATAATAACTAATAGAGTGGAAGTTACAAAATCTCGATCATCGCAGAAAAGTGGCCTACTTTCTATTGGATACATTTCGTTTTTTTTATCGGATACATTTTTGGTTTTCCATCGGATACATTTCGGGAATGTGCTCCTTCGGCCCACTAAAAGGTCCGGAGCACTCCATCCTTATATCCTTGATATACCACCTATTCATGGACACCAGCCCGTTACACCAAGTACCGAGTACCACTTATTCGTACTAAGCGCTTTGCTTCATCCTTTCTGATGCGTACGGCAAAGGAATGAAATACTCTACCGGCTGTCTATCTGTGTTTCCCGAAAAGTATAATTTGGGGCTATTCAAGCTAAGCTAGAGTGAATATTTTTAGGTAAACGCGCCCCGTCGTTGGTCACATCGTCGCTTAACATCAAGTGAGATTGTGGCCAAGTGTGTGTCTATAATTTATGAAAAAAAAGTAAGCGACACGTTAATTATTATTATAGAAGTCCCTTTACTACGAGTACTTGCGTATCGAAAAATTTCCTGGTCAGAAAAAATCTGAAAAACTCATTCATAGATGGCGCTACGGCAAATAAGTCGTTATAAACAAAAAACAAAGATCTGCAAGAAGCACAAGGAAAAATTTGTAAGGGCTGCTGCCTCGTTCCGTGGCTTAATTGGCAGAGCATGAGAGTGCTGGTTCGAATCCTGCCGGATCGAATGTATTTTTCTAAAGGGGCGATCTTTGTTAATAATATAACAAACCAGCGGAGTAATTTCACAAAAAAAAATTATATCATGATAATAAAACATCGTTGCAATAAATAAACTTAAGAAAAGTTCATTTTCAAAATTTGTAATACCGAGAATCGAATTGTAGACCTTTTTTTCATCAAGCCTTCGTAGTTCAAAGCGCTGAGCCGCCGAGGTTATCGTTAGTATGACGTCAAACATACACGATTATTTAGATAAACATTATAATACTGTGCGTCTGTTATAAATATACGTCAGTGTTTCAAAACTAGTTTTTAACAATTTAACTTAACTTTTATTATTATTTCAAATAGTTAAATAGTTTATAATAATGTCATAGTAGAAGTTGTATTTTATATATATATATATATATATTTTATTCTAATATAAGCGCGCATTTGACCTCCATCTCACCTGATGGAAAGTGACGATGAGGTCGCCAATGGAGCATAGATAATGCCTATTCACTATCGCCACGAAAAGGTCCAAGTTATAACGTTCAGGGAACAAGTCTACAGGCAGGGAATTCCACTCCATAGCCGTTCGCCATATAAATGTGGAAGCGTAACGCTTCGTGCGAATCTTTGGAATATCCACAACATAGGGGTGGAAGCCGAGCCTACGCTTAGTCCCCCGATGATGGAAAGGGGAAGGTGGAATTCCATCGCACACTCTCCGTGATATTATATTATCCTGTAAAATACCGATAAGCAGGCAACTTTACGGCGATGTTCAAGGCTCTGCAGCTTCGCCTTTACTAATTCCGAGTCATCTACAAGCCTCTTGCCACGCTTGTCAATTGAATTCGAGGTGGCCAGTTGATATGTAGCAGAGCCATCCTAAAGGTGGCAACAGTACTCTATACACGACTGGACTTGTGCTTGATACAGCTGAAGCAACTGTCCCGGTGTGAAGTAACGCCTCACCCTGGAAATGATGGCTTCCTGGCTGTATTTTTGGCCATGGATTCAATTCCATACGTTCCATAGTCTTGCAGAGTATGGAAGTGACTGAGATAGGTCTGTACTTGACAGGGTCAGCTCTGCTTCCCTTTTTGGGCACAGGTTGCACGTTTGCAAGCTTCCACGACCTGGGAACTACACCAGTCTCAAGTGAGAGGCGATACAGGCTTAGGTATATTATGCTGTAACATAGCAAAGAACGATCGAGTGGGCAATTGCAAATTTTTGATCAAATTTAAAAAAAACTTGTTGGCTGTCATATCAGGTATCATATTACAATAGTGTTGTAACTCAAAATATGTGAAATTTAATATTATATCATTTCTGAACGTAAAATTTGATTCTCTACACGTCAAAAAAACCGATGTTAGAATATTGTAAGAAACAATCAAAAAATATCTACTTAACTCAAAAATAGACACAATTCTGGCCACAATAATCCTAATTAAAAAACATAAAATTACTTTTCCCATTTTATTTTAAAAATACATTTGAGAAATTGTTTATGTGTTTGTAATAAAGTATAACATATAAATTTTAATATTTTTTTGCGGGAAGTGAGTAATTCGTTTTTCATCGATTCTGAAAAAGTCCTCTTTTTGAGTAAATACACTATTGTATTAACAGTGCCATTTAATCTGAGTAAAATTTGGCCGGACCTTTAAGTTATTATCAGTGATCGGAATAGGTTTTTACCTAAACTTCGAGGAACAGAGACAGAACGTGGAGACTTACCTTATGAGTCTATACTATCCCAGCTCAAATTCTAAATTTTCCCGTACTAATACAGTTCATTTTGCCTGGGTCAAGCGGCACGGACATTGGTTTTATTTCAAAATTAATTTTTTTACAAACAAACTTAAAGCGATTTGAAAATATGTCGTATGGTATACGTGTTCTATTTACTTCGATTTGATATTAAAAAAAAACTGGTATATGTAAAGTACCTATTCAATACAACGGTTTTCTTATAATATTTCGAGGTAAGTTTGTGGTTTGTTTTTTATAGTGAACAATTTTAGGAATCCAGTTTTCGCACCGTATAGTAATCAGTGTATATTCTCAATTTTACTTATATTTGATTCAACACTTTCACGGTTATGCAGAATCAACTACGTTTATCTAAACATTACGACGCGTTGTAGCAACTACCATTTCCGGAATATTTAGGAAAATTCGTACAATTTTTTTTCCATTTTTTTTTTCATAAAGTTATACATTTTACACAAGACAATCTTCCGCCAAACTGGAGACAGTAACTTAGTACATGTAATTAGAATTATTAAGATAAGTATTTCATATATTCCATTGATTTATCCGGGATCTTATCGCATTGACTCTTCTTTTTGCCAGTTCTCTGTAAAATAAAATAGAGTGCGATATTTAAACAATAACAGGTAATAATATCGGAATATATTGAGTATATTTACCTAAACTTCAAAGAAAAATGAGTATAACGCCGCACTCTAAATACCGAAATAATAATCGCAACGTTTTACCAGAATTTTAGAAATAACGAATTATTTATTGGGCTTTCGATACATTGGCAACAAGTAATTGTTTGAAGAATCTTACTGCGATTTTTAGGGTTTTGTACTGCATCGAGTAAATCTTACTTTAGTTGTTAGTCAGAGGCCATTGTTGAATTTTCTTTGTTCTTATTTTAAATTACGACATGAAAGTCGAGTTAGAAATTAAAACTTATACTTATAACTACACGAAGAGTCGATGCGTAGTTTTAGGATCCCAGAAGAATGTCCATAAATCAACAGTACGTTTGAAATAATAATTAATAATTGTAAATAGTTCTAATTACATGTATTGATATCGAGTTCTTAGGTTTTCGCGATTGTTATACATAGGAAATGAAACTATTTTTCCGGATTTAAGTCGCGTATATTTGTATTTTCAAACAAACCAACGTTTCGGGCCCTTTACAGGTCTCATGGTCACGGTTGACTGAGGTGGTACAGTCATCAACCATTTATGTCTAATATTAATGCAAACCACCCTATTTTTTCCATTATAGTTACAAAAGTTATTAATTAAGTACCCTATTTTTAATTTTACAAAGATACTTTCCAATTTACGCCACATAATGTTTAAATTTTTTATTAATTAATAATGGAAATTAGAATAAATTAAAACATATTAATTAGTACTCCAGTCTTATGTCTGTTTGGGATTTTTTATCAGAAAAAATACTTTAAATACTTTAAACGTTTAAAAAAAACAAATATACGCGATTTAAATCCGGAAAAATGGTTTCACTTCCTATATATACATCTAATAAGTAAGTTTTCTTCGGAATTTTTTTTAAATATTCCGAAAAAATGGTGGCTGCAACAACTCGACGCAAAGTTTAAGTAAAAAATGGTTTACCTACCTATCCCAAATAACGTTAATTTTTAATGCACTTAAGTAATTTTCTGAATCTCGAATAGATCCAAAAAAAATATTGTCATAACGTAGTCTCCACTTTCTGTCTGTATTCCTCGAAGTTTCGATAAAAAAACTATCTATGCCGATTACTGTTATTATATACACTGTATATGCCGAATGTGGATTTTCTAATTGAAGCTAAAACAGCTCCACAGATGAGCAGTATATTTTTTACCGCGCTCTTATGGTAGCTCCGACAAAACAGCAAAATTAGTTTTTTTTTGTGTCTTTATTTATGCATTTACGTCACCTTGATCTTCCTTTATAACCAACCGATTAAGGCTGGTATATAATAGTATACAAGCCGACGCAGGCGCTTAGTACAGAAGGCATTGTCGTAGTAATTACATATTTCCTTTGTGTCTTTGTTCATATATAGTATATGCAAGATGTTTAGTAATTTTGTTTTAAGCGTGTTCTTGGTTTGTGCTTTAAATGGTGTTATTTGCAAACAAATACGTAAGAATATTTTATATTATATACTCTTTTCTTCTTAAGCGATTTCGAAAAAATAATTAGGTTTTTAATTCGACTGTATTTTTGTTGTGTGTATGTTACGTCATTACTCTGACATTTATTGTGAACCAATTTCGATTATTCTTTTTCTGTTAGAAAAGGGATACCTCGGTAATGGTCCCATTTATATTTAAAGAAAATATTCAACCATTGAAGGTGTCAAATAGGGGATGAATCCGATTATAGGCTTTCACCCACTTTCTGTTAACCGCTTCCAATATAATTTGGCAAATAGATCCAATTCCGCAAATGTTTGAGGTCGTTTTTTCAGACATGCATGCACATACTCTAAATTTTATTTTTGTGGTACGTTAAATATGAAATGAAATTTTTATTTAAAAGTTACAGTAAGTAAAACAGACGAATAATTAAAACATTTATATAAATCGATAACAAATCTAGAACATAATTAACCTATGTCGTAAGATGTAACTGATTATTATCTAATATATCTTTGTTAAATATAAGTAAGGAAAATTCGCCTCAACCTAAATTATAAAAAAAATAATATTAGAATTTTGATTAAAAAATTCAAAATTAATATTTTAGGCCACTTGTGACGCGAGATTTATTGTCTAAAATAGATAATAATTATATAATTATTCACAAAAATAACATTTGGTAGTACATACATAGCGTAGGTCCATTTTTAACCAACTTCAAAAAAGATGAAGAAGGTTTTCGATTTTGATGATTCTTTTTTTGTTGGACAGAAAATATTCCACCTTTAAGGGTGGTCAGGGGATGAATCGGGTTTCGCACACTTTCCGGTAACCAATTGCAACGAAACTTGGCACATAAACGTAATTCCACGAATTTTCGAGGTCGGTTTTTTTAATAAAAATGTTATAATTTTTTCGTAACAATTAAACGATACCCACGCTCCTAAAGAAAATTTGCATCTTAGGCCTCAATGATCCGTCGGCAGCACAATATTTTTACGGTATGAGTTTTTTTGTTTTCCCGATGTTCGGAACGGTAACACACTCCGTGATTACGGGTTAACAGGTCAGCGGGTTGACTGGCACGAGAGTAGACATTTGTATATTCTTAGCGTCCAGTTACACGAGAAGAAAGATTTCGCGCGACCGCTCAGTTACCACGCCTTCATGTACATTAATGCGAATCTCAATTCTATTTATTATGCAACAACATTTAAATTCCTCTCAATAAAAATATCGCGCGGTCGCGCGGGCCGCCGCGTGGGCCAAATTCAGGCTAGCCCGGAATGCTCATTTAAATTAAAACGTAAATGCTAAACAAATAGAGCATATTTTGCCATGACAGTTAGACGCACGCGGTCGCTGCGCTGCAGCAACGCGGACTCCGCTGTTCAGCCGCGCAGGGTGAGCGCGATGAAATCCGTGCGAATAAAGCGCCCTTAAAGTTGTCATCTATCGTTGGCTAGTCAACCCGTGACCATGGAGCGTGTAAGCGTTCCGAAAGATCTGGAAAACAACAAGAACTCATACCGTGGTAAGTAACAATATTTTTAAGTACCTGAGGACATAAACAATAATTGTTTGCTTGCAAATTTAACAAATTATTGGTTAAAAATATGTTAAAACAATGGTGGTTTATATGTTTTGCGAGTTACAAAAATTTTACTTAAAACAGAAACAAAGTTAGTTAAATTTTATATAAAAGAATACGTTCATCGCTAGTACCTGACAGAAATTGCCTTTATGTACAGTCAGAAATGTGTCAAGCGCGACACTTTGGACTTCGAACCGTTTATCACAATCAGCATAGAGCTGAATTTAAATCTTAAGTGTTAAACTTGTTTTCTTGACTCTGTGAGATGAGGTTTGCCCACAAATTACTTTTCGAATTATGACATTGTTGAGAGTGTGGTTTGGAGATATGTATTCATTTCAACCGCCTCTGTGGCTGAATGGTTACCAGTTTGGGCTGGCAACAGAGGTGTCAGGTTAGATTCCCGGGCCGGGAGAAATATTTTGTATGGCTTGCATTTATTTGTCTCGTGAGTTTGGGTGTAGTTTGTGTCTACCTATGTGTGTGTCCATGGTACCCGCTACACATTTCCTTAGTGCGGGGTAATGAGTGTTTGCGTTATTTATCTATTTATTCCTGGGTAATGCCTTAGTGATTTTCACTGGTATTTATAGTACAGAGAATTCGGTTTAATTTACATTGCCGCCAAATGAAGCAGTAGAGCTTGTTAGTTGTTCTTGTGAAAGAGTGCGGGGAGGAAAGTACTGCCACCTTATTATTTCTGCTGCCAAGCGGTAAAGTGAGTCTTACTGCGTTCCGATTTTGAACAGTCCTATCGCTTATGTCACATAATATCATAAAAAAGAGTATAAAATAAAATTATTTATTATTCTTCGGTTTTCGTACAAATAATTATGACAAAAGATATTTTTTTTAATTACGTGGTACCAGGCATGACAGTCAATGCATTGGTATCGTACGTCTTTTTTTGGCAATTTATTCTGTCAATTTCATAGAAATGGTACTTTTCGTTTTAGGTCACCTCATTATTGTCGAGAGAAAGATTATTTTGACGATTAGCCACTATTCCACCATACTCGACCACTTTTCTTTTCGAATTATGAAATCTGTTTCGTCATGTCTTTCTTCTTTCGCCATTCATTTACTAGTTCGGTGTTCGTCTTTTGAGTCCTTTTCTATCATGGGCGTTGGCACGATGCGATGGTATGCCGTCGGAAATTATAAAAAGGACATGTATAATATATATAATACATTGTATATTATCATTGATTTAGCATTTCCCCAATAGAATAAACATAATAAAATAAAATCACCAATTCGAATGGCGATCGAAGGGCAATTCGAAGGGTGATTGAATTTATGAAGTGTGCCGTGTTCTTTGTTTATAAAAGATATAAACGGATTAGTATTCTTTGTGTTTGTCGGTTGTTGATGGTGCATTGGAATAGGAGTATTATGATTAGCAATTGAATGTTATTTGAAATAAATATATGGCTATTTTTAACAAACCTGTCACATTAAATCATCAGTAGCAGTAGCTTCTTGTGAGAGTTCTTCCAGGGAAGTACTGCCACCATAACTATTTATTCCGCAATGCAGTAATGTGAGCATTACTGCGATCCGGATTTGAAGGGCAATGGTGATTTGAACTTGTCAACATTATGTTTTAGGGTGACGAGCACAATGGTAGTGCTCCTCAAATTTTCGCGATTTAAAGCTCTGAGTGGCACTACAACTATTATGGTGAGGCGTGTTGCTTACCACCAGCCACATGACTAATTCCCGTGCCGTCACTAGTAATCGTAAAAAAAAAACAATAACTTGGAAAAAATCGCTCAGGATTTTATCAATTTCCTATACAAACCAATGATAAAAAGTGTAATTCCAAGTATCGTAAAAAAGTGATAAATTGAAATGACATGATTATCGTCGTACAAATAACATTTTATAAAAATTGACATAGATAGATAAAAACTTTATTCACTTCCATGACAACTTATTTACATAGGACCCACTAAAACTAACACCATAATTATTATTATCTTGAACCTCTTAAAATTACAAATTTTTATAACAAAAGGAACCTATATCTACACATATAACTAATTAAAGTAAATAGTTTTGGAAGTCATGGCAGTGAAAAAGCTCTGACTCAGCATAAATGCCGCGGTTTCCCACGACGCTGGTATTCTGCCAGAACCGTGTTTAAAGAGACGCCACTCATCACTTCACAGCTTCTGCCTTGGTGTTTTTACACTATCAACGAGATAAAGTAGTGAAGTACCTATTTGGACTCCAGGCTTCGATGGTAAAAGGAAAATAAAACCCAAGGGGAGACTTATGCCCAGCAGTAGATGCGTGTAAGCAGGTGATGATGAGATGAAAAATTGATGCTCGATGAGATATGTAGTAAATTAATATAAAATGAATTCTTACAATGTCATTTCTGTTCATCTACCATTACCTACTAAGTAGCAGTAAATGTTAATAGGGTTCAAATACCTAATTACATACTTTATTCAAAAATTATATGACTCAATAATACTTTCTAAAGTTTGTAATAATTGACTAGGTAAGTCTTACTTCTACATACCCCAACTACTACTAAGTATTACTTCTACATAACCAATCTACTTACTTACCTATTTTAATTCCAATTTCAGCATTGACAATAGTTATTTGTTAGGCAACGCTGCAAAGTTGTTGTTTGACACGAGTTCTTGTATTGAAATCTAAGCAACCGAAGGAACCGAAAATTGAACCACGAGAGAAGCTAGTAAGGTTCAAAATTAGAATCCTGAGCGTAGTGAGGTTTCAAGTCACGAGACGCAAAACAACTTAGCAAACAACGTAGATGAAAGAAAAACAGTTGAACTATAATAAATCAGTTTAGTTCTTAGACGAATCAAAATAATTTAATAAACATAACCTAACCTCCGGTTAAAAAACCGACCTCAAAAGTCATTCATCAAGAAAATATTCCACCTCTAAGGATGGTAAACTAGGGATTATCATCCTTAGAGGTGGAATATTTTCTTAAAATTTAAATGAGACCAAATGATTATCACTAGTATCAGGTTTCTTACCACGGTATGACTTCTTTTTATTTTCCCGATATTTCGGAACGGTTGCACGCTCCATGGTCACGGGTTGACTGGACGGCGGCAGATGACAGCTTTATG